TATAGATTACTGTACATCAAACCTCTAGTACAATACATCTTATCTCTATAGATTACTGTACATCAAACCTCTAGTACAATACATCTTATCTATATAGATTACTGTACATCAAACCTCCTTACAATACATCTTATCTATATAGATTACTGTACATCAAACCTCTAGTACAATACATCTTATCTATATAGATTACTGTACATCAAACCTCCTGTACAATACATCTTTTCTATATAGATTACTGTACATCAAACCTCCTGTATACAATACATCTTATCTATGTATATAGATAACTGACCATATGTCTGAAAACATAAAGAAAATGAATCTCAATATTTGTTTTTAATCAACTTCTTTCCCTTTGGCCATGGGATACTATCAAACTTTAGTTCGGAGCTTTTTCTACAGGGGATTCTTTTACTCAGGATCCTTTATATTTTCAACAAAATTACATTTACTACTTTTAACACTGTATTAAATCACTAGAATCTCTCTTGAAGGGGGCTGATTCATCTGGTGTACTGAACCGGCTTGCTTTTTATAGTCTGTGTGTCTTATGTACTGCGTGCTCTAATTGGTTAAAAGTCGGCCCGATTCTTGAAATGAACCGGAGTTTAAAGTGACATTTTTTTGCATTCATAAATGATTTATGTTGGAAAATTAATCTCAAATTTAACCTTGAAATTGTCATATCTAGAGAATTACAAGGCGTCTCATACTTCATAGGTAACCCTGTATTTTAACAGTGTGTTAAATATTTAAAATTACCAAGGAACAAGATTAACCAGTGGAATCCTTATATTTTTGTTTTTCTGCACTAAATCCAATTGCATTTATAAAATTTACTTTTCTTTTCCTACTTCACTTCAAGTTTACACTTCAGTTTTCCTACTTAGCTTCAAGTTTATACTTCAGTTTTCCTACTTCGCTTCAAGTTTATTCTTCAGTTTTCCTACTTCGCTTCAAGTTTATACTTCAGTTTTCCTACTTCGCTTCAAGTTTATACTTCAGTTTTCCTACTTCGCTTCAAGTTTATACTTCAGTTT